CGTGCGGAGCGAGGCCTCCGGGGCTCACGAGCGCGGCTCTGACCGCTTCCTCGGGCCTCTGCGGCCACCCACACGCGCTCCGGACGTCGCGCCCTCCCCGAGGCCAGCGGGCCTCGCCTCTGTCCGGCCGTGACTGGAGCCCGTCCAGCCGTTCACGTATATTCAGGCCCCAGTTTAATCCCGGGGAAGCTTTCACCCCAGCCTGCTTCGGGGTCCCTTCCCTCCTGGTCTGGCCCGTGCTGCTGGGTGCGCTCAGGCGGGTCGGCAGGCCTGGCGGAGGAGGGTGCTGCCCCTCCGGGCCCCGCGGGGGGAGCCGAGGGGCCATTGCTCGCCCTGGCTGCTCAGTGGGCCCCGAGAGGAAGCCGGCGGAAGATCAGGGCCTCCCGGCCACTCCACCTGCCAGTCCAGGCAGGGCTGCTGACCGCCTGCACAGCTGAGAGGCAGGGGCTGGCCTGTGCCACAGAGGGCGGTGGCCGCCTGTGCAGGCCCAGGTGCACCCCAGGACGGGCACGGGGCGCATGGTGGGCTGTGGGCTGCCGCGGGGGCTCTCCTCCCACCCCAGAGGGGCCTCGGCGCGCCATGGGCACAGCCCCCAGGTCGCGGTGAGGTTTGGAGGCACACGCGTGGCCCTGCAGGCACTAGTGGTCAGCGTAGGGTCAAAGGGCCTTAAAGGGTCTCGCGTCCTCCTGCAGGACCTTCTCTCTCGGCTGACGGACTGGAGGAGGAGGCGTGAGCCGAGGGACGCGGCGGGAAAACCTCCCTGTGGCCTGGAGGAGGTGAGCGTGGCCTCCCGCCCCCGGCACCGTGGCACCACCTTCCCCTCGGCGCGGGCGGGGCTCGCTGTCCTTGGCCTGAGAGCGGCTGTGCTTGGGGTTTCAGGTGACGCCAAGGCCTCCCTGGGCCGCGAGGTTAGTGTAGGCTGTCAGCTCCCCCGGCTCCTGCGCCCCCTGAGCAGTGGGTGTCAGTGGCTGCACCTGCTGTGCTCCCCACCGTCTCTGGGGCGTCCTCTCACCCCCAGCTCTGCACAACAGTTTTCTAGGTGATAAATAAATAAAAATTCTTTTTTTTTTTTTAAGATTTATTTATTGATGCACACAGAACTGGGGTACAGGCCCAGAGGTGCAGGGGTGGTGAGAGGATGCACTAGAGCCAGA